CCTTCTCAGAAATTACAGTTAGAAATAGCCTCTCTCTCTCTCTTTCTCTCTCTCTCTCTGTCCCTCTTTCTAAAGTGTCGCCCAGCTCCTTGAAGGAACAAAATATACCAGTGTCATTTTCTGTTCAAATAACTCTCCTATAGGAATCATAAACTTCTCCTCTGGACCTGAACAAATATCTGTTGCTTTTAATGGAGCTCTCATTCTTGCCAGAACAGTAACCCTTCTTGATTTACTGTTCAATCTGAATGAAAAACCCGAGTGACCTAATTCTGCTTCAATTTTCTGCCCTCATGGGGAGGACACTAAATGAGTCCCCTGCAGTTAGGCAGGATTACCTCGCCTCCTCGTTTCGGGAAGTTGAGAGTCCTGAATGTCTTTACCGGACTGCCTGCTGAATCCCACTGATGGGAGACGAGATTGCTGGGAGAGGAGCATTATTTACAATGAAGATTCCTATTAACATCAACAGCAGCCACAACAGAAAGACAGAATTATCTGTGTCAAAGAAACCCCTCCCATATCTTCTGTGCCCACCCTCCCATGTGATGAGTCAAATGCATGTAATTTCACTATGGAATCCACCTTCCTTCTTCTGCTGTAGGTTGTACCTTACACTCTTTGCCTTCTTGCATTAAAGAGATTCTTTTGTGCTGGAGAATCTGAGATTCATTGACAAATCACTATGCTTTTTTGGAGAAGCACTCATTGGGGAATAGCTTTAGTCTCCAGCTCCCCATGCACCACAGTGTCATTCTCACATCCCCCTCTGCTCAGCCCCCATCTACCCCAACTCCCCAGTCACCCATCTCCCTACCTCCATCAATTCCCCATTTGCCCCAACTTACCACCTCCCCCATCTTCCCACCTACCCCACCTCCTCAATCTCCCAGTTCCCTATGTCCCCTAACTCCTCAATTTCCCACCTCCCTACCTACCCCATCTCCCACCTGCCAACTCTGCACCCTCCCAGTTCAGTGTGATCTAATCTGTATGGTGTCAGCCTGGTTGCCCTGCTGGTGACTTATTTAGTTGTAGTTTTTCATAGTTATTTGGAAGTCTAAGAGGAAAGCAGCTATTCTTCGAATTTAGTACCTGACTTTGTCAAAGAGAGTAAACCAGAATGCCAGAGGACAGTCTGAGTGCTAGGATCTTTACACAAGAAAAGTCTGTCATCAGAGTAGAACCAAGGAAGTAGGATAACCAAACCATTGGCTGTCATCAAATCCCACTATAATATTTAATTTTCCTTTCATATGGCCATAACCTTACAAAAGTAAAACTGTTTCAGTTTTGTTTTTTCTCCTTGATGATTATATATTTGAAAAAAAAAAAATCCATGATGGATTTTTCTCTTAATATTCTAATTGTCAACTTGCATCATCTCTTTCTGTACTTAGCTTTAGTTATGTAGCTATTTAAGAAATTGATGGGTCAAGGAAGTAGGTATCTCTTTCCTATGGTTAAAAAAAAAAATGCCACAGTGGTAATTCCACGATTATGAGGAATGTGGAAGAAAGTAGGGAGAGTTTGAACAATTTTACCAGAAGAGTGAAAGGATAAAAGTTTCTTAATATTGTTAGAACTAACAGACTTGATGCTACACGATAGTAATACTCATAATAACACATTCTGATAACAAATTATTCAGGAACTCAGAATCAGGAACATGTATTATCAAACACAACAGGAATCTGTCATAAATATTGTTATTTAGTAAGTAAAAATGTCAGCATTTCCCTTCACTACTACTTTTTCTTTTTAATAAAATGATATTTTACTTTCTTCCCAAAGCAGACAAGTGTAAGTTTGGATAAGTACTCATTTTGATGTTGGACTACGTAATATTTTACAGCATCTAAGTCACAGAAGGCTTTAATTTTTAATATTAATATATAGCATCCTGCAAGCTGACCATACAGTGTCCCCTTGTTCTGGTTTAAAATCAGGAAGGGTGTACATCAAGGTAGTATCCTTTCACTTTCACACTTACTCAGTCTGTATGCTGAGCAAATAAAACGAGATGCTGGACTATGTGAAGAAAAACATGGTATGAGGATTGGAGGAAGACTCATTAACAACCTGCAATATGCAGGCGACACAACCTTGCTTGCTGAAAGTGAGGAGGACTTGAAGCACTTACTGGTGAAGATCAAAGACTGCAGCCTTCTGTATAAGTTATACTTCAACATAAAGAAAACAAAAATCTTCACATCTGAACCAATAAGCAACATCAGGATAAATGGAGAAAAAATTGAAGTTGTCAGGGATTTCATTTTATTTGGATCCACAATCAACACCTATTAAAGCAGTAGTCAAGAAATCAGATATTGTATTGCACTGGGCAAATCTGTCACAAAAGACCTCTTTAAAGTGTTATGGAAAAAAGATCTTGCTTTGAAGACTAAAGTGCACCTAACACAAGCCTTGGTATTTTCAGTTGCCTCATATGCATGTGAAAGCTGAGAATGAATAAGGAAGACCAAAGAAGAGTTGATGCCTTTGAATTGTTGTATTGGTGAAGAATACTGAAAATACCATGGACTGCCAGAAGAATGAACAACTCTGTCCTGGAAAAAGTGCAGTCGGAATGCTCCTTGGAGGTGAGAATGGCAGACTTTGTCTCACCTACTTTGGTCATGTTGTCAGAAGCACATTCCCTGGAGAAAGATATCATGCTTTGTAAAGGAGAGGGTCAGTGAAAAAGTAGAAGACTGTCAACAAGATGGAGTGGCCCTGCAGCAATGGGTTTAAGCATAGCAAGGATTATAAGAATAGCACAGGACTGGGCAGTGTTTCATTCTGTTGTACATAGGGTTGCTGTGAGTTGGAGCTGACCTGACAGCACCTAACAAGAAGCTGACAGAACGATAATGTTAATTTTTGGCAGAATCCTCAATGATTAACTTTATAGTTCAGGTCCAGGAAAGTTCTCAATTGGAAAGTATATTTTAATTACCTATACTATCATTAGGTCCCTGCTGTGTGATATAAATGCTTTATACTTTACTGAAAGGTTGACAGTTCAAGCTCCCCCAGTGGTACCACAGAAGAAAGACCTGGCAAACTGCTTCCATAAATAGTACAGCCATTGAAAACCCCATGGAGCTGAGTTCTTCTCTTTAACCCATGGTGTTGTTGTGAGTTGGAATAATACTGATGTCAGTGGGTTCAGAGATCAGTGCAGTGGTTTTGATATCAAGCACACCAGGGTCCCAATCTTGGCTCCCTCCTAGGTCTGTGATGTCTTTATGTTTCTTAATATTTCCAAGCATCAGTTTTCTCATCAGTAAAATGAACTATGAATAGCATGTACTTTGTAGGGGTGGGTCCGTGTGTGTGTGTGTGTGTGTGTGTGTGTGTGTGAGGAAAGAGAGATAATGAAATTGAGGAGCAATGGTGGTGTAGCGCCTAAAGCATTTGACTGCTAACCAGAAGGCTGGCAGTTCAAACCCACCAGCCATTCCTCAGAAGGAAGGTTGGGCAATCTACTTCTGTAGAGATACTGCCTCAGAAACCCAAGGAGGGGTCACTGTGAGTCGGATTAGACTTGATGGCAGTGAGTTGTTTTTTTTTAAATGCACTTTACTTAGGATAGTTAATGGCCATTGATTTCAGAATATTACTGTTTTATCATAATTCTTCATTTGTTGAAAAATATCCCAAGATACTTGTGCCCCAAATTTGAGGGAAGGCATTTCTTAAAAAGAAAAAAGTTTTTTTTTTTTTTTAATTTTTATTGTGATTTGGGTAAAAGTTTACAGAGCAAATTCACTTAAAAGAAGAAAGTTTTAGATGGCATATAATTATTTTTAAGATTAAAATTTTATTAAGATCCAGGTGAACTCTGAAACCACAGCCAGAGGTGGGTTCGAACCACCAACTCTTTGGGTAAATGAATGAAGAAAATGCGGTGTCTTATTTTCTGTTCTGCCTTATTACTAGGAAGTACCTATAGTTATAGGCATTTCTGAGTGGTGCAAACAGTTAACGCGGTTGGCTATTAAACAGAAAGTTGGAGGTTGGAGCCCACGTAGAGAGAGGTGCCTCAGAAGAAGGGCCTGGCCACCTGCTTGAGAAAAGTCAGCCATTGAAACCCTGTGGGGCACACATCTCCTCTGACACACGGGGTCGCCATGAGTCAGAGTTGACTCTTCAGCAACTGGTTACCTACTTTTGATGGTTTCTGAGATGAAAATTCCTGGCAATCCTTTTGTAGAAACTCTTAGTTTTAAAATAAGATTAAACCTGGTTTTTAAAAATGCCTCACGTGCCTTTGCTTTTCACAAGCAAGCACTGCTCACAGAAAGTGGCTTTGGTTGGCACGTTGTCTTGGGCTGACTGATCTCTGTGGTCTCAGCACCTAAACCTGCTCTTGCCCACTCTGCCCCAAGGATTGTCATCATCTGTGTCTTGGCAGCAGGACAGTTGGCCTTGTTCCCTAGGACACAACTAGAAGTCAGAAGGGAAACTCTTTTCTCAGCTCTGGTTTGCTGGGAGTTTGGGAAAAGGTTAGATTTTCCTCTCCCGAATTTTCCCTGTCTGTCCAGAGCAAGCATCAGCATTTACCTTGCCTCATTCCAGAGTGTTATTGTGGGATGCTGTCGAGTCGGTTATGACTCATAGCAACCCCATGAGTGACAGAATAGAACTGTCCATTGGGTTTTCCAGACTATAATCTGTATGGTAGCAGATTACTAGGTCTTTCTGTAGCAGAGCCGTTGAGTTCAAACTGCTGACCTCCAGGTTAGCAGCTGAGTGCTAAACACTGAGGTTACTGGATGCTTGGAGTGTTGAGTAGCATACAGCATCTGTGTAGATGCAACATTAATGTTTCTCTGCTGGACATCAGACACTCTAGTTGGGAGTCAGACATTGACCGTCAGTATTGGGAATATGTTTTGTCATGAATTTAAACCTAAGGTGGTTGTTTATCATTTAAAACTGAATTGCAGTGTGTGTCTCCACCCCCTGCTCACCCATTTTATTATCTCGCTTAGGCTCCAGGCCCGCATAGCTCACAGGATACAAGAGCTGGAAAACCTGCCTGGCTCTCTGCCACCAGATTTACGGACCAAAGCAACCGTGGAACTGAAGGCGCTCCGGTTACTCAATTTCCAGCGTCAGGTAATTCCTTCTCCCCAGCAAATCTGAGACATGGGAAATACATGTAATTGTTCATCAAGTGTGATCTGGCAGGTTCCTTACATCTTTCAGGATAGTTATAAAAATACAAACTTAGGAAAATGGTGTCTCTTTTGAGCCCAGTAACACACAACTAAAACTGATGAAGATGAACTGCTCATGACTCTGTTTTTCTCTTCTATCTGAAGCATTTTTCCTCTCTTCTGTGGAGCCCTGGTGGCTCAATGGTTGGCGGTTCGAACCCACCCAAGGGCTCCATGGGCGAAAGATCTGGTGATACCCTGTAAAGATGACAGTCTAGAAAGTCCTGTGGGAGGTTGGGAGTCGAAATTGACTCAATGGCACCTAACAATAACAACATCGTTTACAAAGCCACAGTTATGGCATTCATTGCTGTCACTGAAACCTGGAAAACAAATGGGATAGCTCATTTGATGAGATGAACAAGATGGTAGTAGACCAGAATGTATAAGTAAAGTATTAGCCATGACTATGAAAAACATCCTAACAAAATGTGATAGCTACTCTGAAATGAATAGAGCATTTGATACCAGCAGAAGCACCTGTTGACACATGAAAACCCACTTCCATTGAGTCAATTCTGACTCATAGTGACCCTGTAGGCCAGAATTTGAACTGCCACAAAGGGTTCCCTGGGTTGTAAATCCTTATGGAAGCATCTGCCTCATCTTTCTCCCATGGAGCAGCTGATGGGTTTGAACTGCCAACTTTTTGGTTAGCTGCCAAATGCTTTAACCATTGCACCACTAGGGCTCCACATACTTCAGTGAAATATAGGTGGTTCTTACTAGGGTTCTTTGTGGTGGTGGTAGTGGTTGTTAGGTGCCATTGAGGTAATTCAAACTCGTGGAGAACGTATGTGTGCAGAATAGAACTGCTGCATAGGGTTTTCAAGGTTGTGACCTTTGGGAAGCAAATAGCCAGGCCTGTCTTCTGAGGCACCCTCTGGATGGGTTCAAACTGCCAGCCTTTCAGTTCATAGTTGAGTGTTCAACTGTTTGCACCACCCAGGGATTCCCATGGTTCTTAGTATTCACTGACTAAATAAATGGTTAATTGAGCAGTTACTAATCAAAAGTTGTGGCTCGAGTCCACCCAGAGGTTCATCAGAAGAAACGCCTGGTGATCTACTTCCTAAAAAATCAGCCATTGACAACACCATGGAGAGCAGTTCTACAATGGCACCCATGGGGTCACCACGAGGCAGGATTGACTCGGTGGCAACTGTTGTTGTTTTTTTTAAGTATGAATAAACGTTACTATAGTAATATATTTTTATGGTGCCTTCTGGTTTCTAAATCAGTAGGAGACTAGTAGAGTGAAGGTAGAGCTCATTTCACTTTGGGTGAAATGAAGGAGCCTGTGGGTCCTGAAGGAGCTGGTCTCCTATCCCATAGCCTGCCTCAACTCCCTAAGCCCACCAGGATAGGAGCATTCATTGTCAGTCAGATAGGTTTGTCCTGTGAAGGTCCCAGGGCGTGCAAAATGAATTATTAATGTATGAAAGTTGTCTGGAAGTATTGAATTGCATGACTTGGCCTGTTGGTAGGATGTGACAGAAATCACAAGGCTGCTGACTGTGGGGCAGACGGTCCGTACTGGGGATAACTGCACAAGAGAGCACTAGGGCTGGCTTGGTGTTACTTGGTGTCAGGTTCGGGAGAGCAGATTTAAGATGCAATAGAAAAAAGAAAAACTCTCTGAGTTCTGTTTCCTTCTTTCTCATAGGTGACTTATAATATGCATAATAAAATAGTACAAGTAATATTATATTAAGTAATACCATAAAGTGTTTGGTAACATTTTGTTAAGAATTAAGTATCTACCAAATACACTTTTAGGAATAAGGTGATGTTGAAATTAGCTTCATTGTGCTGGATTCTTACTGGTCTCTGATTGTTGTTTGATATTATTGAAAAATCTGTTATCTATGAAGTTTCCCAACTATGTTAATTGTAATTGATGCTGATTTTAGATTCAGTTGAATAAATATTATAATATGTATTCCCAGTTTCCTGCCTTACTTCCTACCTACCATGTCCTAAAATATTGATAAAATTATTATATTTATGATACAATAAAATAAGTCCATGACATAAGGTCAAATTTAAATGTTTTTCGAAGGGATATCACTGTTAGGAATGGAAGGGTGCCAGACCAGTATCCCCCATCCTTCCCACAAGGCCCTGATTTAATGTTGTTTGAGTACCTGCTGCTACCATGCAACGTGAGCAGAAAGTAATTCTTTTCTTCTTTTGCAGAGAATCATTAAAGCTAATCCTTAAACACAAAGAGAATGTTGGTATGGTTTTCAAAATGAAGCACAAATTTTAAAAGCCTATTATCTCATTAATATCATTAGGATAATTAAATAGAATGAATGAATTTATTCAAAAGCCAGGGCAACATTTACTTCTCTTTTACTGTTACAGTACTGTAATTGGTTCTATCCGACTTAGTTGGGAAGAAAGCTTATACCATCTTTGAAAATACTGCATCCATTTAGCATGGTTTAGTTCCATCATAGGATTAAAGGCCAACAGTGATTGAAATAAAAAGGCCCTGGGTGGTGTAATGGTTAAGCACTCAGCTAGTAACCGAAAGGTTGGTAGTTGGAGTCCATCCAGAGGTGTCTTGCCAGAAAGGTCTAGTGTCGTACTTTTGAAAAATCCGCCATTGAAAACCTGTGGAGCACTATTCTTCTCTGATGTACATGGGGTGCTGTGAGTCAGAATCGACTAGACGGTGGTTGGTTTTTTGTTTTTTTCTTTTGGTGATAAATGTGTGGCAAGTCCCCATTCTGTTCCTTTGAACGGAAGTGAGAGGAGGTCAGGGTTCAGGAATCATGAGGAGATGCTAACTGCTTATTACCTCTCCACAGCTGAGGCAGGAGGTGGTGGCCTGCATGCGTCGGGACACAACTCTCGAGACGGCCCTCAACTCCAAGGCATACAAACGGAGCAAGCGCCAGACACTGAGGGAAGCGCGCATGACGGAGAAGCTGGAGAAGCAGCAGAAGATTGAGCAGGAGAGGAAACGACGGCAGAAGCACCAGGTACAGATTCGCTTCCAGAGCACCACAGGAAAGCCAGTGCCAAGATAAAGCCAGGCACATGCACCTTTTGGTTTCCCGGTGCCTATAAAGGTTATGTTGACACTCTGACGTCACCTGTCTGTGAAGTGTGCAGTAGCCTGATGAAAAAGCTTGAAATATTGTGAGAATGAGCCAAATGGGAAATGGAGACATGAAGTGAGCATATGCTATTGGAAAAATGGCACTGATAGGTGTAGGGTTGCCACAAAATTTCAGTTTGTGAAAAATGCAGAATCTGTGACGCGCAGTAAAGTGAGGTTCAACCAAACAAGGTATGCCTGTACTAGGGTTTGTGTGTCCTGAGTTTGCTCTGACAAGTGGGCACACCCAGGGTGGCAAAAACCACTGGCATTTATTCTCTCACAGTTCAGGAGGTACCAGCTTAGAATCAAGGTGTCAGTGGGGTTGGCTTCTCTCAGAGGCTCTTGGAAAAATCCCCATCCTCTGTCCCAGCTTCTGGTGGCTGGTTGCTGGTAGTCCTTAGTGTTCTTGGACTTATGGACACATCACCCCAATCTCTGCCCTCATCTTCTTACAACTTGCTCTGTGTGTCTGTGTATCTCCACATCTCCTTCTCCTATCTCTTATAAAGACAAAAGTCATTGGGCTGAGGGCCCACCCCGATCCAGCATAATTTCCTTGGAGATCTTTAACTGATGATATCTGTAGATCTTATTTCCAAATAAGAACCTGTTCTGAGATTCCAGGTGGACTTGAAGTTTGGGGAATACTGTTCATCCCACTTAGGAGCCCTGGTGGCACTGTGGTTAAGTGCTCAGTCACCAACCACAAGGTCAGTGGTTCAAACCCACCCATCAGTTCAGTAGGAGAAAGATCTGGCAATCTGCTCCTGTAAAGTTTACAGCCAAAAAACCCTAATAGGACAGTTCTACCTCTGTCATGTTGGGGTCGTGATAAGTCGGAATCAACTCTCCAGCACCTGACAACAACCACAGTGTTGACCCTTTAGTGAATTAACTGTTGTCCTTGTTATGCTTTCTAGTAGTCACTTATTAAGAAAAGTTAGTATAATGATACCTTTTGTCATTAGTGTCATCTTGATAAAGATGTCCTGTTAAGTAGTTGGATAAAGTCAGAACTACTGAAAATGTATCGCTCCGGGTGATGGTGAAATCACAGAATGGAAAGGTTCTTTGGAGGTAATGTAGGCCAACTGCATTTTCTAGATGAGGAACCTTAGGCTGAGACAGGTACATGAATGATCTTCCAAGGTTATACAAGGTCAGTAGTAGCAGGATGGAGTTTAGGCCCGGCTTTCTTGAATCCCAGTCAGGTGTCATGCTCGTGATCCCATGGGAAGCTGCGGACTACAGTAGACACACGTTTGTCCCCTGGAGCATAGCACCTGGGAGAGGAAACTTAGGAGAGGGAAGGAGGAGCAAAAAGTTATTGTTGTTATAAAAAGTACAAATATAGTATCCTGGGCTCTTTAAAGAGCACAGTCTAAGATTTCATTGGGGCAAATGTTAAAAACATTCCTTTCTAAGAGTATGGAATTCTTTAAAATGATTTGAGTGAAAGCTTATAGACCAAGTTAATTTTTCATTCAACAGTTTATATGCATTTTTTTTTGTAACATTGGTTGCGATCCCATTAATGTAACAGCACTCTTCCTGCTTCCTCCCTGAGTTCCTTGTTTCTATCCTTTCTTCTTTCTTGCCTTCTGAGCTTTGTGTTTGGGCAGATGCTGCCCTTTTGGTCTTGTAGGTTGATTTCTCTGAGGAGGATGGGCTTTGCAGGTGTTGGTGTTCACTCTCCAGGCCTGTCTGTTGTTTGGCTGAGAGGTAATCCTTGGGAGTGGGTTCAGTCCAGGTTTGAGAGGTGCCTAAGAGCCATAGTCTTGGGGATTCCCTCAGTTTCTGTCAGAGTAGTAAGTTGGGTTTTTTTTTTTTTTTTTTATGATTTTGACTTTTGTTCCACATTTCTCCCACCCTATCCAAGACGTTCTATTGTGAACCATTTCAGAGTGGTCAGTGGTGGTAGCCAGGTACCATCTAGTTCTTCTGGTCTCAGGAAGTAGTGTAGGCTGAAGTTCACGTAGTCCACAGGTCCTTTGCACTAATAGTTCCCTTGAATCTTTGATTTTCTTTACTCTTCTTTGCTCTAGATGGGGAGAGACCCATGGTTTGCATCTTATATGGCCACTTACAAGCTTTTAAGACCCTAGTTGACACTCACCCAATAGGATGTGGAACATTGTCTTTGTGGATGATGTTATGTCAGTTGACCTAGATGTCCCTGGAGACTATAGTCCTAAGCCTCTAAGCCCTGTGACACATTCTATCAAGGTGTGTGGTTATGGCTCAGAAGTTTTCATAACTTTGCTGCCTGTATGCTCTACTGTATTCATGGATGTATTTGCGGTACATAAAAACCCGTCTGTAGAAATACCCTCTGCTACACCTATAGATGCTCATGAATGTAGTCCTGATATAGGATTCGATTTTGTGTCATACCCTATAAATTTTATGTTTGTTTTCCTGTGCCTAATTTAGTGCCTAGCTTAGTTTAGCTTTGGAAAGATGTAGGATTTTACTTTAACTGGGGTATGTGTTTCTCTACTTTTATTTAAAAATCAATGCAAATTACATGTGAAAAGTTTAGCTTTGTAGAAACTTACCTTGAGTCATAGTGGAATTCCCTAAGGGTATGAGTCTGGGTGGTTCAAACAGTTGATGCATTTGGCTGCTAACCAGAAGGTCAGCTAACCAAAAGGTCCAGGTCCACCCAGAGTGCCTCAGAAGAAAGGTCTGGCAGTCTATTTGTGAAAAATCAGCCACAGAAAACCCTGTGGAGTAAGTTCTACTCTGACACGTGGGGGTACCATGAGTTGGCATTGACTTGACAGCAACTGGTTTAAATAAATAATTTTATTTAATGTTGCTTTTATAACATGATTCTCACTGGGCACACTTTCATCCTTCAGGCTCATTTTGGAATGATTTGCTGTAAGTTTTGTCAGTGCTTCTGTGTAGGTTTCTCTCCATCTTTTCATTTCTATGTGGCCATACCTTGAGGCTGAGGAGGCTTCTTCCTTAGTCTTGGAACAAAACAAACTTTGTGAGGTCGTCTTTCCCAGTGCCTCATGTTCCTCACCTCAGCTTCAGAGATGCACAGAGACCCGTCACAAAATAAGATTTGAGTTTTCCATGATTGTTAAACGCACACACGTTTCTGTTCTTGGACTGTGTTGCAGGCTCCTGGCACATTGGGGAAAGGAGTTTATTCTTTGTTTTCTCCTTTGAATCCTTTTAGGAATACCTGAACAGTATTTTGCAACATGCAAAAGACTTTAAGGAGTACCATCGATCTGTGGCCGGCAAGATCCAGAAGCTCTCGAAAGCTGTGGCAACTTGGCATGCCAACACTGAGAGGGAGCAGAAGAAAGAGACAGAGCGCATCGAAAAGGAGAGGATGCGGAGATTGATGGTAAGGGGCCTGGTGGCAGGAACAGGAGTGCACTCAGTTCACAGCTGTGTGGATTGTTGTTAGGTGCCATTGAGTCGGCTCTGACTCATAGCGACCCTGCACAACAGAACAAAACACTGCCTTGTCGTGCACCATCCTCGTAATCCTTGCTGTGCCTGAGCCCATTGTTGAAGCCACTGTGTCAATCCATCATATTGAGGGTCTTCCCCTTTATTGCTGACCCTCCACTTTACCAAGCATGGTATCCTTCTCCAAGGAGTGGTCCCTTCTGACAACATGACCAACATAGGTGATACCAAGTCTGGCCATTTTCATTTCCAAGGAGCATTCCGGCTGCACTTCTTCCAGGACAGATTTGTTTGCTCTTCTGGCAGTCCATGGTACTTTCAGTATTCTTTGCCAGTACCACAACTCAAAAGCATGAACTCTTCTTCAGTCTTTTTTATTCATGAAATATGGAATATGGATGTATTTGTAGAATATGGAATATTGGTCTTCCTTATTCATGGAATATGGAATATGGATTGAGAAGGTGAAATGTGGGGCAGTAAGAGAAGCAAGAGAAAGATGCAGCAGTCTGCTTCCATAAAAACGTATAGCCTTGGAAACTCTATGGTGCACTTCTACTCTATCCTGTAGGGTCACTATGAGTCAGAATGACTTGACAACAGTGTCAAGTTTTTGTTTTATTTTTTTAAGAGGAGAAGAGAGGACATTCGTTGTTCAGTGGTAGAATTCTAACCTTTCATGCAGGAGAGACCTGGGTTTGATTCCCAGCTAGCGCGTCTCATGTGCAACCACCATCCATCTGTCAGTTCCAGCTTCTCTGTTGCTGTGATACTGAACAGGTTACAGTGGCACTTCCAAACTAAGACAGACTAGGAAGACAGGCCTGGCGATCTACTTCCAAAAACCAGCCAGTGAAACCTCATCACAGAGGTCTGAGCCGCAGCCAGTCATGGGGATGGTGTGCAAGGCCTGGCAGCATTTAGTTCCTCGGTACTTGGTGTTGCAGTGAGTCGAGGGAGGGGCAGTTTGACAGCAGCTAACAACAAGAACAGAGGGAAAAAGTGAAAGCTGCCCATCAAACATACTAACATGTCCCTTTTTAACTTCAGGAAAGTGAACTAAAAACACTTTCTCTTTCTTAAAGAAAGCATGGCACAAATCAGTGGTGATACAACCAGCTGATATGTGTGGTACTTCCATGCCCTGGGATGGCATTGGTGTTCAGGGCATGGCTTCTCACATAAAGAAGGCACTGTAGTTTGCAGGAGTATGGTAACCAGGTGCAAAAACGACAAGGAGGCCACATGTTCTGACCTCCTCTAATCTCACAAGAGGAAGACAGCAGTAACCCAAGGCCTATTACTGCAAGGCCAAACATGCTGCCTCCCTCCAGCCCTTTCACCAACCGTTCCTCCCAAAGCACCCACCACCTCTCTCCTGGGTTCGATAATTCACTGCAGTGGCCACACAGAACTCAACAGATTACAGGGTTTATTAGGGAAGCACCAGTCTACAACTCAAATTCAGGAAGAACGCTCAGTCTCTCTCCCAGCCCACCGTCCCTCAGCCAAGAGTCTCTCACAGTCTCTTTCCGGGGTGCGTGTCTCTTGCGTCTCTTTCCCAGCAATGTGTGTCTCAGGAGCCCGTGTCTCTTTCAGCAGCAAGTCTTCCTCGACCAGCAGTCTGAAAGAGTTCCGCCTCCAGGAGGTCTCCTTTAGAGCCTGCAGGGTGGTCAAACTAGCCAATTATGGCATCAGAACTCTAAGCACCTGAGAGACAGTGGGCACCTCCCAGAACATTGTTTAGTGCCACTCCCAACAGAAATACTCCCGGTGGACACCTTCAGCAATCAGGAGCTCCTCAGTTGCTCATAGCAAATTCCACCTTGGAGTTTACAAAGACTTATGGGTAGAAAAGCCACACAAAGTAATTTACTATACCACACCAGGTCTGGAAGGAAGTGTGGAACTGGAATTCTTTTTGAAATATTGTCCCTTTGAGACTAATGTCACAAGTGGTAGTAAAGGAAATAACTCATTAAATTGTCTCTTTGAACTAAGAAGGTCTCCTTTCTTTACAATTTTTTTTTATTAGTTATTCAGAGAAGATTTAATGAACATTACCCTAATATTTTTAACACCTTTACTGAGGTCTTATTGTACAATACACTACATAGAAGGTCTTTTTTCTTGAAGTCTCTTGTTCTTGTCCTTTTTTTTTTTTTTTTGAAAGAACACATGACAGGAATTATTTGTTCTTTCATAGTGTAAAGTGGTTTTTAAGTTAATTTTTTTTTTTCCTCCTGTGCTAGCCATGCTATTGTCGAAGGTCATTCATGGATTGTGGCATTGGCACTGTGTTATTTTTGTTGTTTTTTTAACGGACAGGTAAACACAGAAGGGACCAGTTTATGTCACTGGCCTGAGCATTTGGTGTTATTGACCGTCATTCTTATAATTGGACCTCAGAGCATATAATGAATTTTAGAAAGGGGCATGTAATCTATAATAATAGGAGACCACACATTGTTTCTGGCACATAATGTCTGAGTGAAGATAAAGTCATTAGCCTTAGGCTATAATTATGTCCCTGGAAAATTCTAAGGGATGCTGTCTTCCTTGCTGATTTGCATTTTGTTTTCCTTAATGTTTCTGGATTCCAGAGAGTAGAAGCCATATTTTAAAAGGTTCTGTGCCCAGGTACTAAGGAGCTCTGGTGACACAGTGATTGAAGCATTCAGCTGCTTACCAGAAGATTGGCAGTTTGAACCCACCAAGCACTTTGTGGAGAATGATGACGCTGTCTGCTTCTGTAGAGATTTGCAGCCTTGAAAACCTACGGGGCAGTTCTGCTCTGTCCTATAAGGTTGCTGGGAGTCAAAATTGACTTGACAGCAGTGTGGTGGGTTGGGTTTGGTTGGGTTGGATTTGGTTGGATGCCCAGTTACTACTAAATTTTACCATTTTACCCTGCCTCCTTCTCTTTTTGGGAGGGAGGGGACTAGCCAAAAAAATTCCTAAATAGGTAGTTGTGACCACTTTCTAGTCATTTGAGCTGTAAGCAGGCACATTTGTCTGCTTCAACTGAAGTGAAACTGTATGAGAACTTAAGTAACAGGTTGGTTTGACACTAATGATTAGGCATTTGCAAATCATTAATTTTTGCAATTAAGTGATGGGATCCTCAGATAACAGAGAAACTGAAGTTTTTTTTTTATCACTCTCTCTTCAAATGAGATCAACCATAACCAAAAGCAATTAGAGTTATAATAGCATTTGAGGTTCATGCTCCTCCATGGCTAGACTGTGATGGAGCCACTGTCACTCCAGCACATTCTGTAGTGACACCCCAGGGACTGACAAGCTTGGGCTTCCTGTAACAGAATCTCTCCTTGAAGATCTTGCAACATGTTTGTTTGATCCTGGCGTCCCATGAGAAAATTATTTTGGGGTGTCCATTTATGGAGATATATATATATATAAGAGATTCCTCTTGAAATGGCCCAGAGTGCATCAGTGTTGTTATTCTGTAGAACCTTACCATGTTGCTTGGTGGGAGGTGGCAGTGGACATCATTCAGTCTGTTTTATTGCTGAGTAACAACCAGACTTCAGGTGCCAAATGATTCCAGTCACCAAAGTCCATGATTTAGTTCAAATCTGTAACAAAAATCCCCCAAAGCTGACCTTTTCCTGCAGCCAGTGTTTGCCTGGCAGAAAAGTTGTTTTTAAGTATTGGAACATTATTTGCTAAAAGCCCATTTGATTCTTTATCTTTAGGAATAGGAGTTTTGAGGTATTTAGGAATGACAGGACTTTATGTTGGGGAATTTCTGCCAGATAATCCAGTTTGTGCCTGGGATGGGAAGTTTAGGGACGATTAGTGCTGTATCAGGAATGACTGTGAGTTGATTTTAATTTTTTTAATATTTTATTTTGTTGTTGTTCTTGTTGAGAATTTATGCAACAGAACCTTACACCAATTCAACAGTTTCTCCATATACAATTTAGTGACACGGACTACATTCTTGAAGTTGTGCGACCATTTTTGCCCTCCTCTTCCAAGTTGTCCCTCCCCCATGAACATAAACTCACTGCCGCCTAAGCTTCCTATCCAATCTTTGGAGTTTCTGTTGTCAGTTTGATCCCATATAGATAGTTCTTAAAAGATCACAGTGCTCAAGGAAGACATTCCTTACTAGTTAAGCTGAACTCTTGTTTTGTTTGCAAAAGACTTCAGGGGATATTTTTGGTTTAAGGCTTAAAGATTATCTCAAGGCAATAGTTTTGAGGATTCGTCCAGCCTCCGTGGTTCCAGAACATCTGGATTCCATGTGGATTTGAAATTGTGGTCTGCATTTTTGACTATGAGTTGATTTTTTTGTTACTTGATGATGGTTATGTGAGGGTTCGTTTTATCATGCTTTTTTCTTTTGATTAAGTTTGAAATTACCCCAAATAAAAAGTTAAGAATCAGCTTCAGTTAGTGAATTGTCAAATTGTGACATTTTTTGTGTGCAATTAAAAATCAGACAAAAAAGAACATTGATGCAAAGTGGTCGATCACACTACATATCCCTTGGTGTTAGTCATCTGTGGCCATGTGGCCTACCTCTCCCTTTCTGATTGCTGTGGGACTTAAATTGTCCATCTTCCTGTGGGCCCTCGAGCCCCCATCTGTGTGTAATAGCTTTGCAGCCAACTACAGTCACCACCAGTCAAAGTGCACACATGTCCAGGAGAGGGTGGAGGGCAAAGTGGATTGTGTGTACACTTTTATGGGGCAGTGGTAATTCAGTGGTAGAATACATGCCTTCTGTGTGGGAGACTTGGCTTTAGTTCCTTGCCACTGTACCTCCCGCACAGCCACCACCCATCTGTCATGGGGGCTTGTGTGTTGCTATGATACTGAACAGGTTTCAGCAAAGCTTCCAGATGAAGACAGACTAGGAAGACAGATCTGGTGATCCACTTCCAGAAATCAGCCATGCAAAACCCTGTGGATCACAATGGTTCAGTCCACAACTGATCATGGGGATGGTTCAGGACTGGGCAGCATGTCATTCTATCATAGATGGGGTCACCCCCAGTTGGAGTTCCATTCCATGGCAGCTAACAGCAACCACAGACTTTTTTTTTTTTTTTTAATCTTTTTTTTGTTTGTTTGTTTAATTGTGATTTGGGTGAAAGTTTACAAAGCAAATTCACTTTCCATGCAGCAGCTCATATACACTTTGTCTCATGACATTGACTACAATTTACCCCAATGCAATAGCTCCCCTCCCACTTCCTCTCCATAGTTACCTCTTCCCTGTGTCCTTCCTTCCATGCACTCCTTTCCCCTGAGCTATGCACACACAGCCCTTCTAGTCTCTCATGATTGTTCTCTCTAAGGAGTGTATCTACCTAGTGTAAATGTTCACCTCATTTGCCTTTTGTTTGGCTGGAAGCCACAGGTGTGGGTTTAATTCCAGCCCTGATGGGCAGCTAGAGGCCATAGTCTCAGTGGTTCCATCAGGCTCTATCCTACCAGCAAACCTGCCCCCCCACTTTTTTTTTTAAAAATGATTTTAAGTTTTGTTCCACATTGTTCTCCCACTCTATCCAGGATCTCTTACATAGACCCCCCCAGAACAACCACAGACTTTTGTGATGTTTTCATTATGCTCTTCTTTCCTCAATAGGCTGAAGATGAAGAAGGCTACAGGAAACTGATTGATCAGAAGAAAGATAGGCGCTTAGCTTACCTTTTGCAGCAGACTGATGAGTACGTGGCCAACCTGACCAACCTGGTCTGGGAGCATAAGCAAGCCCAGGCAGCCAAAGAGAAGAAGAAAAGGAGGAGGAGGAAGAAGGTGAGTAGCTCTCGTGATGGCAGCTCAGTCATGTACTACTTAGTGCATGCAAAAGGAGCTCTGGTGGTGTAGTGGTTAAGGCACTTGGCTGCTAACCACACGGTCGGTGGTTTAAACCCACCAGCCACTCCACAGAAGAAGGATGAGGAGGTGTGTTTCTGTAAAGATTTATAGCCTTGGAAATCCAGTGGGAGTCGCTATGAGTTGGAATTGACTTGAGGGTAGTAAGTTTGTTTTTGGTTTGAGTACACTCATGGAAAGTTTTGATTACTGAATTGCAGAAATTCAGTGGGTCTAGGAGTCCCAGGAGATGCAAATGGTTAACAAGCTCAGCTGCTAAGCGAAAGGTTATAGGTTCAAGTCCATCCAGAAGCACCTAGGAAGAAAGACCTGGTGACCTACTTCTGAACAACCAACCATTGAAAACTCTCTGGCGTACAGTTCTACTTGGACAGGCATGGGGTTCTCATGAGTCAGAACTGACTGAATTGACTGCAACAACAAATGGGTATCATGGGAGAGCAGTGATTAGGTGTATTAGATAGCATGCTAGAGGGGGAGGCCTGTGGGTAGGGTGTATTCAATGGAATCAGTTCAGCCCATATTTCTACTGTTTAATACAACATGTAAACATTACTTGTGAAGTAATGAGAAACACAGGAAATATGCGTACTCACACACAGATAGTCAATAGGGAAAGAAAAACATGGACTCTATTAAGTAGCTTGTTTTAGTTTAATGCCAGTATAGTAGGAGATAGCAGAGTTAGGAACCTGGGATGAAAATGAAGAAGGAAATGCAGTGCACAGATGGAAAGCAGTCAGAGCAAGTTGTAAGAGAGAGCTTTGGGATACTTTTGGAACATATTTCAGCCTGTTTGTTTGGACAGGTAAGGTTAACGGTGGTGGTTCTGTGGTAGAATTCTCACCTTCCATGCAGGAGACCCGGGTTCAGTTCCCAGCTGTTGTACTCCATGCACGGCTACCACCTGTCTGTCTGTGGAGACTTGCATGTTGCTGTGCTGCTGAGCAGGTTTCAGCAGAGCTGCCAGACGAAGATGAACTAGAAAGAAAGGCCTGGCAATTTACCTCTAAGAATCAGCTATGAGGACCCTATGGATAACAACAGCCTGATCCTGCTGTGAATGGGGTCGCCATGAATTGCAGGCTGTCTTGGGGGCAGCAAGCGACAACAATTGGGACAGATGGTTATTCCAGAATAGTTCATTCAGTTCTGCTACCCTGATGTCGTAGTCAGGTAAGTGTGCACATAAGGATGTGCGTTAGTCACAGAAAAGAAAAAAGTCTTATGTAAAATAGATCCTAATTATCATCAGAAGTGAAAGGTGTGATTTAGAATCCCTGCTTTGCAGATAGTACATTTCATTTTAAGAGTCACCTGCTGGTGCAAGACTGTGAACAGAAAACCTCTTTGAAGTGCAAGTAGTCTGGGAATCTAGTTCTTGGTTGATACTTCGTTTTCATGACAAATTCTGCTAGGGTTGGCCACAAACATCAACAGAAGGTCTCCATCAGAGCTGTGAAGATTGAGGATTTGTAGTATTCCATCACTTAGTCTCTACACTGGATAATTGAAGAAAATGTTTTTCAAAAAGTAATTAATTTCATGGCTACTGAATTCTCATACCTGGTTCATAATTAAGGAGGAGGAAGGAATGATCGAGAAGGCTTCTCCTCCCACCTGACTTCTCTGGTATAAGACAACTTACCACAGTGTGGGCATGGCTCGGGGCTGGAGTTCAGGCATCTAGGCAGTGAGGCACATCACGTCTCCTTGTCAGTGCAGCACTATAGACTTTGCAGACTTCCAGCTGCCAGCTTCTGACTTTAAAGGCGTTTTCAGAATCTGTGAAGAGCTTATAGACAACCATGCAATCCTGTAATAGCCAGAAGGAACCCCATTAAATAGCAGTATTAGTTTCTCCTGATCTGTAGGAAGGAGCCCTGGTGGCACAGCGGTTAAGTGCTCAGCTGCTAACCACAGTGTCAGCGATTCAAACCCACCAGCAGTTCCAAGGGAGAAAATACCTGGTGATTTGCTACCATGAAGATGACAGCCAATTCTGCTCTGTCACGTGGGATCACTATGAGTCAGACTCGACTTGACAGCACCTACCTACACCACCAGCAACCCAGAGGTGTATTTTGCAAAGATTGTGGCAGAAGGCTAAAAGGTCACCGTTAGGTTTTTAGTCCTGGAAATCATATTCTACATTCTTTTGTGATAAAAAGCTCATGACCCTGATTTGAGTTTCTGACTTATAATTAATAGATTTCTGCCATGGTATTAAATAGGTATATCATCATAGGCTGAAAAAAAAAACGATATATGCTTGTGTGTCAATGATTATGCTTGTATATTGGGGTTAATCTTGACAGAGTAGGGCCTTCTCACGGTATTTTTCACAGTGTTGTTTATGTGATCAGTAGGTTGATGCATCACTTCCAAACTCTTTTCTTAAGGCTTGGTGATAGCCCTTACTCTTTTTGTTTCATGCATTTACACCACAGGTATTAACTGAGCACTTACTGTGAGCTAAGTCATGTGCTGGAGGGAGTGGAGGTTCAGTGGGAGAATTCCCTCCTTCCGTGCAAAGGCCCGGGTTCAATTCCTGGCCCTGGCACCTCATGTACAGCCACCACTCATCTGTCAGTGGGGGCTTGTGTGTTACTGTGGTGCTGAGCAGATTTCAACGGTGCTTCCAGGCTAAGATGGTCTAGGGAGAAAGGCTGGTGATCTGTTTCTGGAAATCAGCCTGTGAAACCCCGTGCATCACAATGGTCAGAGCATGGAGATGGCTCAGGACCGGGTGTGGTTTCATTCCACTGTGCATGGGGTGGCTGTGAGTAGAGAGTGGCTTGTGGCAGCTAACAGCAGCTACAACAGGCAGTGTGCTGGACACTGGGGAGGGAGGTGCAGTGGTGAGGAAAAACCTTTCTGCCCCCTCTCACAGCTTAATCAGAGAACAAAAGAGGCATCAGCTATGTACCAAGCACTTCACTACGAACTGTGATGACTGCTGTGAGGGAGGACGTGGAGTCAGAGTGGGGGAGGGGCTTGCTGTCCTGGCAAATAGGTAATAGACACAAAGCCGCTACTATCTGCCATGTGTGTGTCTGGCCTTCATACGATGCTCTCACCTGATCAAGTGTGTAGATTATCACTGTGTTATCAGCCATCTAAAAGGCCTCTGGATGGTGCAAGCAATTTGCTCTCGATGCTAACTTAAAGGTTGGCAGTTGGAACCCATCCAGTGGTACTGAGGAAGATAAGACCTTGGTGATCTGCTTCTATAAAGGTTAAACCAAAAACCAAACCTGTTGCCATTGACTCAGTTCTGACTCATAGCAACCCTATAGGACAGAGTAGAACTGCCCTATAAGGCTTCCAAAGCTGTCATCTTTATGGAAGCAGACTGTCACATTTGTCTTTTACAGAGTGACTGGGGGGTTTGAACTGCCAACCATTTGATTCGCAGCTGAGCACTTTAACCATTGTGCCACCAGGGCTTCTGCACATGGGCTGCCGTGAGCCAGAAGTTGACTTGACTACAACTAATAAATAACAAGAACCTCAGACGTATTCCCCTTCCCTCTCTGGTGGTACAGTGCCTTAAGACATCTGACTGCTAACCAAAAAGTTGGTGGTTCAAACTCACCAGCCACTTTATGGAAGGAAGATAAGGCAATCTACTTCAGTAAATATTTACCGCCTGGGAAACCCAGTAGGGGTTGCTCTGAGTCAAAATCAGCTTGATGGCAGTGGATTTTGGTTTGTTTTTTTGGTATGTTTTTATGATCTTATGATGCACTTGAACCCTTCTGCTCTCAGCACGTGGGGTGGGGGGTCCGAGATTGCTGATTTCCTTTCTGGACCATCTTGCTGGGAGAAGTGGGATAAAGAAGGAAAAGAAAGGAACTGGGCACCTTCCTGGAACCTGTCTTTTCACGAGACTTTAAGACTTAGTTCAAAGTGGATTACCCCATTCTGGATGCACCTTTATTCAAGTGCAAAGAAAATGGAAGCTTTCAAAAACTGATTCTTTGACATTTTGGATTATCTGTTGTTCAGCTCCCCTCCAGTAGAGTGAATCACTGAGACTTGTTTGTTCACTGTGCTGGGGAAACACTCTTGTGTTTGTAAGCTTAACAATTCTTTGCTATCCTTCCCAGGATTTTCTCACAGTATAAAATATTAAGTGGTACTTGTCTGTATTTTTTTAAAATTAGCAGCTATCAGTAAATCTTTGTTTTGAGAAAACTGCTTTACCCTCTGAGCAAATAATGTTGAGCTGATAGCAACACTTGTAGCACAGCAGAGGTACGGAAGCTGAAAACTATTAGAGACAAGGATGGTCGACATTGTAGCTTAATTGGAAAAGGATTGCTCTTTGACTTTCAGCATTAAGCTAGTGCTTAGTTTTGGGTTTTGTTTTTAACTGTCCAGATGTAATAGAGAAGATCTTTTCCCTCTTTGTGGGTTTGTTGTGTTTACTTGTTGTTAGTGAATAATTGGGTGGATTTTCTTTAACCTGTCATGGCCTCCTTCAATTTCTTCTTCTTAGCATAAGGGCCATTTCTGTGGAGTATATACTTATAAATCACTTGGAGACTTCCTGTTGTTAGCTCTGTCTTCTATCACTGTCCTTGAAATAGAAAAAAAAAAAAAAAGTACATTTATAGATCTACTCAAGTGTTGGTGTCAGGGGTGGTGCAGTGGTAGAATTCTCACCATCTATGCAGAACAGGTTTGGTTCCCAGCCACTACACCTCCTGTACAGTCACCACCCATCTGTCACTGGAGGTTTACATGTTGCCAGTATGCTGAACAGGTTTCAGCAGAGCTTCCAGACTTAGATAGACTAGGAAGAAAGGCCTGGTGATCTACTTCTAAAAACCAGCCTGTGAAAAGTCTTATGGATCACAGTGGTCCAATATTGTTGTGCATGGGTTCATCCTGAGTTTGGGGCTGACCTGATG